ACCTAGAAAAGTCAAGAAACACCTTATCTACCTACGGCAAAAAAGTTTTGAAAGGAAGAAGAACTAATAGTGTAGTACTTGAAGCCTTTCATATTGAAGCATGTCTATAGAAGTTTTCTGCAGTGGGAGGCAGTGAATATCAAGCCATATTTCAAAGTATCTGCCTACTATTTCTTTCCTTTTATAGTCGCCTAAAAATTTTTTTGGTTTTCTGAAGAATTTTGCCTATCTCAGTTTGACCCTGAATTTTAGGTGATACAATCTATTGCAAAATATGATTGGTGAACATGAAACACGTTAGTAGTTGAATATAAACAAGTACCTACTGGTCATCTCACATGTTCTGATAACATCATTGATGATAGAAAGAGTTGATTGATGCCCTGTGTCCACCCTACTTCTCCAATTGGGTTAATCTACAGATCAAGTACTATAAAGTCAATAAGATATGAGCAACAAGTCCCCAGGTGATAAAAAAGCTACTATTTGTTCAAGCTGAGGTCTTTCTCTCCTATCATCCTGATCAGGCAAAGTTCAAGTCCAAAGTTTCCCTTTTATTCTGATCAGGCAATAAGACCGAACGGTCTCTAGTCCATGCTAAGCTCTAATCCTTTGGTTACAGTTGAGAATGCATTTTCCTAGAAGTTGTTAAAGGATATTGCAATTGACGAGGATCCATATCACTACTATTACCTTTTTACCATTACAAGGCAAAAGGATTATTGAGAAATCTGGTCTTTTAGGTAATAGAAGATGTTTATCAGTAAAATTTCTTTAATTAGGCATGGCTGCTGGAAGGTATTACACTGAAACAACATGACCTAGTCCTTACTAGGTCACATAAGAACCTGGGATCCATTATAAGTCATCTCTCTATCACAGGTGGATAAAAAATCACTACTCGAAGAAAGTTGGGACTAGCTATATCCTGGAAGTAAAGGCTCCTACTAGGCGATAAGTCTCCTTAAACAGTACACAAGAAGGAAATCAAGATCAAGAATGAATAAGTTTCTCAGATGGTCAGGAAAAAAAAAGATATCCCAATTGGGTATTTCTTATTGAGAAGAGATCTTGAGAAGCAGATCTTTGGAGGAAGCTGGAAATATTTTTTCAATTTTTACTCTTTCATTTTCTTGTAGTCTACTTAGATATTTTTAAAAATTCCTCCTCTCCTTTTTCAACCCATCCTTTTGTAGTTTCCTATATTCCAGCGGCTTGGTCAGATATACAACAGTGACAACCTGCTGGCAATGATGTAGTGGACTAGAAGGGTCTTTACCCAAAAACACTGCGGAGTGAAATATTGTCCTCAAGGCTAAACTTAGAGGCTTTATGCTTACAATGAGTTAGTTAGATTAGAATAATAGTTTAGCTGTAATATATATCATGTTGCTCGAATGAAAATATACTTTTGTTTTCAATTGATTAATAAACTGATGATCTAGCCTGGCTACGGGTACTCAAAAAAAAAATATATATATATATAAATATAACTTATTTATATATTATTATATAAATAATATTGAATAATATATAAATATAAATGATTTTTTTCAAATTCAACTCTTTCTGCTAATCCTTAAAACCATCCCTCCAAAGTAGTATTCGTTAAAATTTTCTCTTTTGTACTAATATAGCTTCCTCACCTTCACTTATACACTATGTAAATATACTGTATAACAACTTTTACTCACATTTATTTCCTTTTCAACTCTCTGTTTGGCTTGAGTGTAATTTTTAAGCAAAAGTGATTGAAGTATATCTAGGTTCCCAATGGTAAGAAAAGTCCCTTAGAGAGAAGACTATTGATTGAAGACTTCTTACCTTCCCTCATAGTTAGGATAGGCAAATCTAGAGATGGAGTACTCGCCAAAGGCTATGCCATATGCAGTGGTCTTATCCCTTTAGAAAATTCACTAGACCCCAAGCCTTCTTTCATATGAAATTTATTTTTCTGTCTTATTTTGGAAAATTTTGCCTACCCCTTCTGACCTTGAATTTTTGGTTACACTAGACTTGCTAAAATTTCATTGGCTGAAAAGTAGGAGTCAGATAATGCCATACAGTAGCCAGAAATAAACAAGACAATACATGTGTCACACATGTTTTCTATTCTATATTACTACTCTTGAAATCAAGTATTGCTCTTATAACGATTATTAACATAATTTAATAGTTACACTTTATAAATTATAATCACCTGAACCTGGTTTTTGAAAAAAAAGTCACTGCTAGTAAACTGTTTAGCTCAACTTTTAGAACACAGAGGTCTAGTGAATGTCTCTTGATTTTATTGTATTGAGGTAAAAAGGACCCATAGTAAGGTAGAACGTATTGTATTGGATCAACCTATACAGTTATATATATGCTACTATTTTCAATCTTTTCTCCTTAGAGATAGTATTCCTTCTATCTTAAAAAACATAAAAATCACTTAGATCATATCAAGAGGAGTTCTCTTTCACTAACTCCCTTATCTAATTGACTGTATAGATGACTATCCTAAAGAATTCCTCCTTCCTGTTCAGCAAAAATAATTTATTTCCATATATAGTTGGAACCTGGCTAGAGAGTAAATTCACTAAAAGAATATGGAAGAGTTTTCTGCAGTATTGAGGTAACCTTAGGTAAAGTTCAATTAAGTGGTACCAGTTGTCGAATTGGGAGTTTTGTAATACCACCTGAAAATAATCAATAAGCTGATAAATAGATATTGCTAAAAGTTACCATAAGGTGACAATGGAAAACTACATTAATATTACCACTTCAAATGCATTAATGACAAGCACATCCTATTAAAATCAGAATAGTATGGACTCAAATGAAAGCTTCTTTTCCTCATATGAGTTGCATAGTAAACAATTCATTATTCTCAAGCTTCTCTTTGAATATATTGAATTGTGATAATAGCAGTAAACATAGGAACACAAATATACTAAACACATCTCATCTTTTCACTGTACCACATTACAACCCATGGAACAAATTTAAAAGTTAGTTACTTTTCTAGAGTTTTAGTTAGTTAACTTAAGCATTCAAACACATGTATTCACACATTAGTAATAAACTGATCTCATTCTTTTTTTTCCTTTTTATAGAACTGAACAACAGTGGTACCTTGATATGCTATGTCCTATAGGATTGTAATAACTTCGAGCAGCTGGGGCAGCTGGTTCTGCTAAAGTGTTTTTTTTATTGTTTCTAAATAATGTAGCCTGACAAATTGCTTGACAAGTAGAATTTTAAAATTTCTTCTCATCGAGTTTAAAAAAAAATAAATAAATAAAATAAAATATAAATGATTTTTTTCACAAGTTTTATAGATTTTTGAATAAATAGTTGTCGAAATTTTAATTAATAATCAATAAACTTTTAATGAATAATTTAATAAATAGTTGCTAAATTTTTAATAAATTGTTAATAAATTTTTAATAAATAGTTTTAATATATAGTTGCTGAAATTTAATAAATAGTTGATAAATTTTTGATGAATTTTTGGTGAATTATTAATAAATTAATGTTGAATTTTTATTGAATTGTTAATAAATAATTTTGTAATGAACTTTTAATGAATTTTTGCTAAATTTTTAATAAATTATTTGATAAATTGTTAATGAATTTTTTGATAATTTATTGTTAAACTTTTAATTAATAAATTTTTGATTGCTGAATTTTTTAATTATTAAATTTTTGATTGTCAAATTTTTTATTGTCAATTTGTTGCCTAAATAATATGTTAAGTGGCAGTAATAAAAAAGAATTTGGCAATAATTTTATTATTAAATTTAATCAAATTTGACAATAATTTAGCTGTCAAATGACACAATTTTGACTAATGATTTATTTGAAAACAAAGTATATTATTTTGTCTATATAATTTATGACAATTTGATATATCACAAAACTAATAAAATACTTTAATAATTTAAATAAATTATTAATATATACAAAAATTCACAAAAAAACTTAAAATTTTTATTATCAATTTTAATTAAGATTAATTTTATAAATTTTAATATCTTTTATTATACTATTTAATAAATTAAATCAAATTCTATAGTTTATAATCATAAAAAATTATATAAAATAATTATTAAAAATTTGCATTTTGAGTTTATTAATTTTAAATATATCATTTATTTTTTCTTTATTATCAATTTCATATTTGATATTCTTAAACTTGCATTATTCAATTTTAGATTTTGTTGATTCTTGCTTAATGATATAATTTGTCTTAATAAAAAATATTTTTGTTCTATATCAAAATAGGAATTTTTCATTTGTCAAATTTCTACTTTTTGTTTTTTGTTATTTATATGAATATTCTATTTATAAATTAATAAGTGATCTATTGTATTTACTATAGTTATAAGTAATTTTTATTTTTTTTTAAAATTTTTTCTTAAACTTTTATTAAGTTAAGATTAATGCTTTCTTAATATTTTTGAAAATTGATAAATAGAAATATAAATAACAAGTTGTTATTTATTGAAAAAGTATTAAGACTTTATTAACAAAGAAGTAAAAAAACTTCTTGTAAATATTTTTTTTGTGTGTAATTGGAGGATCAGCGAAAATAGTTGTTTTATTAACTTTTGTTTTATACAAAGTATCTTTATTTAAATTTGTATAATATTTGTATAATATCAATAAATATTAAATTAGTTTTAATTGATATATTAAATAGCTTATAATTGTAATATAATGTGTTAAAATATTTTAATTTTTTTATTGCAAATATGATTCATATCAAACATGCAAATGTATTGTATGAATTAAGTAAGCAATACTCTTTCCAATAGATCCCTTGACTACCCCTTCCAAAGAAGTGTTCTTTCAAAACTCCTTGTTTTGACAATAATAACTTTTCTTAAAACACCTTCAATTAACAATTACCTCGATTTACATTGTTTATACTTATTAACTCCTAAAACCACGTGGCTTAAATCAAGATATGGTATTCGTTTAGATTCGTTCAATGAAATATAAATTGGCAAATATTATTCCTGCTTGATTTCGGGTCCACAGCGATCAAAAATACCTGAAAAGGCACTTTGAAGCGACCTCTCATAGATAAGCTTTTGATTATACCCGCCAGCCTTCAACAATAATGTGGGAGTGGGTAAATATCTGTAAACATCGTTTTGTTAAAAACAAATTCAAGTTGTTGGTATAGGATTTAACAAAACAAATAAAACAAGAAAGGATACGAGTCAGCATATTTGTCTTTAAGAGTATAATGATCTATTTCCATGTACTCTGATGCGATAGGATCAAATTCTTGTGCGTCTTCGCGGGGAACATGGTCTACCCCATACCATTCAATCCCGCTATCCTTAATTTGTAGACTGTTGAGGATCGGATCCTCGAGTGAACTAGGTTTCTTGGGACCAGTCTCTTTTTTTGCTTTTAAAATCCGTGAAGCTGGTATTTTTGAAGTTGCCTATAAAGAATAATAGTGCTCACAAAATTGATCTCCAGGTAAATATATGACAATTAATGGAATAGGTGATACCAATTCATTGATTATTTCAGCATGATGCTCTTCTTTAGCTTTACGTTCCATCTCTAACGACTTTTTATAATTCTCAAACTGCATACGCTTTTCTCTTTTTTCACGATCTTGCATGTATGCAGCAAATTTTTCTTCATCAATCTAATTAAAAGAAAAATTTTTTTAGCCATGATTAAACGAATATTTGTAAAATTAGACCGATAAGCATTTATTTACTGGACCTGTCTTCGTGCGTTATGCATAATAATGTCTTTGTTCTCTTTGGTATATCTCTCAATCAATTCATCCGTGGCTTGCTTGTTAATATTACTATTAAGATTCCAAACTGAATAATAAAATTAACCATTCTGATTTGACATGTATATCTATCGAAGTGACAATAAGTACCTATATCTTCAACCATCTCTAGATAATCGTTATATTCCTGTAAGCTTTGAAAATCTTCCTGCCGTTTATTAAATCTATTTAAATCCTATCAGATCAAGATATGATTCGTCAAAAAATATTCCAAAGTAAAATAAATTACTGTTGCGCGATCCTTTTGCGTATCCGAACTTCTTTTTCCACACTCAAATCCTCAAAAGTTGGCACCACAAAATTTATTTTTCTCAAAGTAATACCACACTTCGGACAAGGTCCAGCACCGTTAGCAAATAATCTATCTATACACGATTCACACCTAAAAAAACATCCAAAATATAAGTACAACTTTCCTGATGTCATAAAGAAATATAAGATACTTACATTTTATGATAACATTCACTCACAAGTAGTTTCATGTTGGGAGTGAGATATCTAGTATTCTTACATATTGGACAAGACTCATCGAGATCTTGTATGCCTCGATCGTTCATCGTTGTTCCCACACGCGTGGCCATGTTTTCCAATGAAATTAGGGAAAAAAAATTTTTTTAGGGAGATGCTTAGAACATAAGGTATAATACCGGCCGAAATTATATCGAAATCTATAAAAGAAACGAAACATGTCTTTATTGAGATATTAAATAAACATATTCAATGTTACATTGACTTTCTATCTTTGTATATTATTAGTTAAATGATCACACATTAAAAAAAAAATTAAATTAGTATTAGATCTTTAACCAATCAAGATTATTGTTGTAATTGATTATTTCAGAAAATAATAAATTGTTAAAAATATTAAAAAAAGAAAAAAAAACCATCCAATTTGAAGTTTTATTAAGAAATATTCTTTTTTTTTTTTTTTTTTGTCCTCTATCAGGCTAATTATATATGTATGCTTTATTAAATATTTATAAGCTGTATATATGACATGAGACACTAAAGCTAATTCTTTAACTAGCTCACTTATTTTGATTGTTTTACCTTTCTAAGTATAATTTCGAAAGTAATTTATCACTCCATTAGGAGCTCAGGTAAATCCTTTCAACTTCTAATATCATTGCCTGCAGATTATTACTGTAAATTACTCTTTTGAGTTTTGACAGAGATTAAAACCCAACCATTTCATTTCATACTTTATTCTATCTCATAGGACCTGTTTGAGCATCATATTTTTTAATTCTTTTTTCCTTAATGGTACTTGATATGACCAATTTTCTAGTATCTTAATCTTGTTTTTTTGCTTCTATAGATATATTAGCCTTTTGATCTTATTACTTCTACTGATTCCTAATATTTATTTCCACTCTATCACCTTCTCATATCTGATATTTCAAATTTTCTTTCTGAAGTAATTATATGTTTTCTTTTGTATTTTCATTATCTATTTTTTTGCTTTTTTATCAATTCACTTTCCATAACACTTCGAGTTTACTATCTTATCCATTAAATCTTTTTTAATCTGTCCCATGTAGAAGCTAAGTATATCCCGATTAGTATTTGAGATTCTTTTCATTAGTTGAACTATTTTCTTATCTATTTCTCCTCTTTTTATTCTATAATCAACTAACTTATTTCTTTTTCTTCCAACTTCTTTTTTCTATCTGTCAGAAGTTTGTTAAAACCTTGTATTATATCTTCCGTACCCTTCTGCCAGGTTTCTTGTCACTAAGTTTTATATGCTGGATATTCTAGCAAATGTTCTATTGTTTTTTCTTGCTATTCACATACAAGACATTTTACTTGCTTATATAAGTCTAATCTTTTTGTGGCTAACTTTGTTAACATGGGTAGCTCATCACTGATCATTTTAACAAGAAAACTTTTTCTTTGGGATCTTTTAAAAGAGATATTTTATGTGTACCCATTATTTATTTGTTTTCAAACTAAGTTCTATATGTGCCTATATTGATCTTGAATTTGATAAATTTATTTTTTATCTATTCTGTTTTGAGTTGTTTATTGATGTATTATTATTTTGGCATTAATTTCTTTAACAAACTATCTTATTGGAATATTCAGCACTATATCTTGCTATTTGATTTCGGTAATAATCTTAGGTGTGTCCAAATCTTGGCATTCTATTGTTGAGAACTTTAACACTTTTTTGACTAGAATATCTGCTTCCTCATTATATTGAATATTGGAGTATACTTTAACCTTGATAAGATTTAGATATAATTCTTTTTTTTTTATTAGATTCAAAACATTCATATCTACAAGTAATAATGATCCCTAAAGTATTTGACATATAATATTTCACAGATCACTTATGTCTCTTTTTGAGGGACAAAATCCATAACTCTTCACTTTAATAAGAACAAAAGTCAGGAAATACTATAAATCAATAATTTGAATAATGAAGAACAATTGAGAGTAGTTTTTTTTATAGTTATTAATTTAAAAATTTTAATGTTTCCTAGTAAAGGACATTTAAATTTTGTCACTGTCTCCCCCTTTAGGGACCCATCTTTACCTATAAGAGCTAATTTTGTTCTTTTAATCATCTTTTATAGGTTTTTTTGAGATTCCTCTTTTCTATAGTTTTCTATTTGGAGATATAGGCTTGACTATCAGTATGGATTTGAATCTTGCTATTAACTAATATTACTAGTAATATGGTGACTATTGCTACTAGTTCTACTTTTGTAGATAAAGGCCAATCAACTACCACTGCTTGGAACTTGCTTTTCCTTTCTGCTTCTTCAATATGTATCCATGTTGCACCCATCTTTATATTTTTATTTCCATAATCAATAAGATATTCATCAAAGTAAAAGATTATTGTATTATTGCTATTATCCCCCCTATTATGCTTGAGTATTTTAATCAATGGGTTTATTATGCACCTTCTTTAATATTCTCTTTAATAGGCTTCTCCTTTTAGTTTTCTATCTCTACTTCTTTCAATTGTCTTCTATTACATTGTGTAATTACTGAGTCTATATGAATTGTTTTACTTATTGTTTTCTCTAAGGTTACCTTAAAACAAGGGATTTTTAAAAGTTGAGCTCTCATTATAGATTTCCTAGTATTAAGATAAGGAACCATATATGTTTGTTCTATATTTGATTTTATTATATATCAGTTTTCAGTCTTGATCCTTTCTAAGCAATCTTGATATCATATCAGATTTGATCCTAAGTTTTCCTTGAAGCTATCACTTTTGAAATGATCTATTTTAATACATCTTTTATTGTTATTTAAAATCAACTTTTTCTAAACAAGTTGTTGCTACTGATTATTGCTTTTTGTGATCACTCAAAGTTTTTATCTTTTATTGAGGTTGAGATTAACTACTAGATATTCTGAACTCCACTTTAAACAATCTTCTTTTTAAGATCTTATAAACTATCTTAGTTTGTTTTCTCATATCTCTCTTATCATTGATAAGTACTATTCTAGAATAGATCTCTTACTTGTCTTATGTAAAAGTTGAAGTATTCACCTGTCCCATACTTCTCTAGTTTCATAGTTGATAAGTTAATTCATGTATATCAACTTATTGTATTTGAGTGATAGAATGGTTTTACTATATTCATCTGTTATCAAATAATCTTTAATTGAACTATTTTTGATACTCCAATTAAAGATACTATTTTGACTATGGAAGATTATCTCTATATCTTTGGTCAGTTTCAGTACTTGTAATGTGAAGTTGCTCTTTTTCAGAAGATAGTCTAGTAAGTTATATGTGAGTAGGTTGAGAGGTTTCCAGTACTTAATCTATAATAGCCTTAATCTAATAATTATTGTGATTTCAGCTAATCCTAAGTCATTTAACCTATTGTATAATCTTGTTATCTGACTTTCTTTTTGCAATATCCAAATACTCTTTAAATTATAAATTTTGGGATGATGTACTATACTATTAGATATATATCAATATAGTGTGACCTTATAGTATTTTTGAACAGCTTTCTATATGTCATTATTAGAGTATTATACATTTGTCAGAAAAGTACACTATGTTGCATTCTAAATTCGATTCTAGGTAATAAAACTCTGTTCAAAATATAAAGTGCTTGCTTGTCAGTTAACTTTTTGTTCTTTGAAACTTGATAACCATGTTGATTTCTTTAAACATTTGTTTTTTGAGTTCGATAGCAGATTTCTGGTTATCTGTTCAGATCTCTAGAAATCTTGTCTGTTTAGCTCTATCCAATTCTCTAACTACTTTTCTATCAACCCCTACTTGGATCTCTTCTGGATATTACTTGAGATTGTTAATAATAATTAATACTGATTTGCTACTATTAATCTATAAGTCATTTGTTCTATAAAAAATTCTTGCTTCTTTTACAATCTTTTCCATATCCTCTTTGGATCTTGCTATTCATATTATATCATTCATGAATTTGATAGCTATTTGCTTTGACTCTAACTTTCTTCCAGTATTTTCCTTTAACTCAAGGTCCTAAGCTATTAATATTTTGTGGCCTTTTATTTTATTATTCTGAATCTTATACAATAAAGGATCATAGAATATTCTTCATATTAGTGATGAGATAGTTTCTTCTTGATCAATGCCATTTTCTATTATAATTATATCAGTTAGATCTTTCTCAAATATAATCCTAAATTCTTGATTTTAAAATAGACTTATTATAATTTAGATAAAGCCTTCTGATATCTTGATTCTATTTATTGCCTTGATTAACAAATTCAGGCTAATAGTATTATATACTTTTATTATATCTTGGAAAAGTATCCATAACTCTTTTTTATTTTTTCTTGCTTTCTTAAAAATGTTATTAAGAATTTGAATTGGTTTTACT